AGGGAAGAGTGAGTAGTCTCTTATTGATGTATTTTGGGTAGTGGAATTGACCATTAGTCCCTTTCTTTGTTGCTTGTATTGTGTGGAGGGGAATTTCCCAATTTATTGCATTATATGCCTTTTTTTATCTTCCACGTGATTTCTTATTATCCCATTTGATGTTGTGCAGTTGTAAAAGTCTTTAATTTATTGATTAAACATGTAATTATGAAGTTTAAATTACTTGTGGGTTCCCGTGAAAATCTTTAATGGTTATTGTGTGAGTGGTTAGTAGAGGTATGTAATTAGAATGTGAAATTGATGTTGTACTTGACTAGTTGATGGAATAATAGAGTAGTATTAGACTTTAATATATGATTTTACGAATTAGATTAAGAGAAAAAAGTTTGGATGTGAGTTGTGTTTGATTTTGAAAATTTTGTTTTAAATATAACTTATATTTATGTGATTTTTCTATGTGTGATTAATGAAATTGAGTTTTGATTCTTGGGTAAGAAAGTACACATTTGAGACTACAATTCAGACATCACATAAAAATGTTAAGGAATGACCAAGTTATGTGAGTTAAAAGATGAATATCATATTCCATGCGCAAAATATAATGTGAGTACGTTGTAAGCCTTTTGAGTAGGCTTAAATGGCAAAATTAGGTTTTGCAATCTCCATAAAAGTTCTAGCCCTATATTTTAGCTTTTAAATAACATTGGAATCACCTAGAAATGATGTACCGAACTAAAGTTATGATTAAACTAGTAAGCAAATGTCAAACTATCAAATTAAAGTTGAAACATTGTAGTTTTGTATTTAAAAAAAATAATAGATGGCATAATTAGATATTAAGATCAACATAAAAGTTGAATATAATTATCTTAACTTTCTGAGAAAATTAAGATCAACTTGATAACATATATATAGCTCTATATAAGGTATTTGGATCACTCAATGTATTAGAAGATTAAGTTATGAAAATGTAGTTTGTTAATCGTAATGGTGAATAATTTTACCCTTTAAGTATTTGATTTTACAAATGGTTTGAGGTACCTATATCAATGTCTAGAAAAGATAAATCATGATAAAAAATAATTGTTAGTAAATTATGATGTAAGTTGATTGTTAATTATTTGAGGTGTTTTAATGATAGTGATGTTCAGGAACTTGATGTGTGGTAGTGATAAAGTTGCTAGACTAGTTAAGTGATTAATTTAAATTCTTAGTAAAATTGATCTTAATGAAGATGGTTGAGTTGTGTCGGGCGCGGATTGATTTTCATTGAGTGCTAACTGTATATGAGATTTGTTTAGATACATGAGTTGAGGAGGGTGTTGAATAATTTGAATGTTAATGAGTGTGGCATGACTATATATGTTTGTTAGATTGTTTGAATGAGTTGCCTGATTACTATTGGTAAATTGTATATATGATAAAGTGTATGTGTCATTAATAACAATTGAGAGCACGACAAATCATATGTATGACAAATCGTTTGAGTAGTAAATCATTGACATATGTGTATGTATGGTGGTTTTCATGTTATGAAAAAGTTTGTGTGACATGTATCATAAAATCGTTTCATATGCATTACGCATTGTGTGAAATTGGTACCACGTGCATGCAAATTGAGAGTTCGTGTCTATTGCATTCCATATTCGCATGTGACTAAATAACTTATGATTGTTGTGTTGATAAATGATTGTGTTGGTAGGGATGATTAAATGATTATGATAGTTAAATGTTATCATCATGTTATTGTATAAATAATGTATGAAGTGTGTTTGACTATCTGTTTCTTATTCAATGCCATGAGTTAGGGTGAGAAGTTTTCTCACTCGCCTTTATTTCCATGTCTTGACTATATGTTGTTGCAGGTTATGCTCATCAAGATCTTAGGAGTGTTCTGATAGGATATTTGACATAAGGACTTAGAGTGGAAATATGTTTATTAATTTCTAACTATAAGAGTTATGTTTAGTGTTATATTTCCGTATTTGTTTGGACTTTGTTTAGATACTTGTTATGTGAATCTCTTTACCCTAGATTGGATGTTTCACTTGACTATTTCCGCATAATTTTGGAGTATCTTTAGAGAGTTTTAAATGTTTTAAATTATATATGGGATAGAAGATGTCACATTAATAAATTTGTATCATGCATTTAAAACTTGTGTTTCAAACAATACTTTATTTTGAATTGATTTTTTAAATCCTAATTTTATTTAAGGATTTAAATGTAAATTATAATTACGATCTACCAATAATTTAATTTTTTAACCTATGAGATATATGTATTGTCAAACTATTATAATATTATAATTAAATATTTTTTTTATTATAAAATGATATAAAGTAATATTTTTATTTTATAATTTTAAATTTATTTTTAAATAAATAAATATTATCACTTAAAAAAAGTTTGAACTCATTTATATGATAATTAAATTATTTTCTATAAATTAAAATATGAATTATAATTTTATTATTTTTTTATAGTTATATTTTTATAATTTGCATGTCATGTCAATTTATAAAATTAATTATTTTAATAAATTTTGTTTATTTATAATTTACCTTTACATTACATGTAACATGCAGGTTGTTTAAAAATAATAATAATTTAAATAATTAATGACATTAAAGCAAGAACATGCAGGTCTTTTAAAAATAATAATATTTCAAATAATCAATAACATTGAAGCAAGAACAAATAATATTGACATTTCACATGATTAGTATAATACATCTTATCATAATCCACCTATCTATCATATAACATCACATTTACTTTCATTTAATTATTCATTATTCATTATTCATTTAAAAATAATAATATTTCAAATAATCAATAACATTGAAGCAAGAACAAGTAATATTGACATTTCACATGATTAGTATAATACATCTTATCATAATCCACCTATCTATCATATAACATCACATTTACTTTCATTTAATTATTCATTATTCATTATTCATATAAAGTGCATATCATTTAAATTTGTTTACAATAATTAATTACTACTTTATATATACAATTTATAATTTATTCATTTGATAAATATTATTTTTGTTTATTCAATATTTAAAGAGGAGGGTTCAAATGATATCGGTATAACTTTTACTAAGTGTTACACTGCTCAATAACTTTAAATTAAATGTGAATTTTATAAATATAACCGTTAGATTGAATGTTCTTTACTCTTAGATCATATATACAAAATTTTATACTAATCTAAGATGATTTGATACTCCATTCTTATAAAATAAAATTGACGTAATATATTTATTTCAAAATATACTAAAATATGAACACTTTATTACCTTTAAGTTGTTCAATTTTAACAAAATTTTATATACACATATAAAGTGATATTAATTTTTAACCTAACAATTAAGTTTACAAAATTCACATTTAATTTAAAATTATTGAGCAGTGTAATACTTAATAAAAATTATACCAGTATCGTTTGAACCATGTTCATATTTAAATATATGTAGATTGTAATTTTGCATCAGAGACATTGAGGAACTAATGACAATAAAATAGGACCAAAATAATAAGCATGTCGATCACATTTAAGTGATTCGTACAATACTACTATCATATTTATTATATAATTTTATAAATTTACATTCACTTACGCATATTAAGTATGTGACATTTTTCAACCAAAAAATAATACAAATACCAAATGGTCATAGTATGGACACGACTAATGTTATATCAAACAATGGTCAAGGTTTAATGGTTTACTTTCAATTTTCTCCTATGTTAAATAAATTATTACATTACCATCTCAATGATTATATATATTAAGCATGAACGGGCGAGTCAGTTCAGAGGACATTTTATTGCTTTGTCTTCTAATATTTTTTATATTGATTGATAGAAAATCTTTAAAATTTTATTTATAAATACTATAAATGTAATAAATTTTTAATTTTAAAATATTGTAAAAGCAGATCAATTTTATATATTCTATAAATAAATAATATATAATTTTGATATGATCTAAAATTTTCACATGTTAATACTTTACGCGTTTGAAAAATATTAAAATTTGTAAAAAAAAACTTTTTTCTTCTTCTGAAAAAAAAAGTTGTTATTGAAAGCTAAAATAATTAAAATTTATAATTATTTTTCAATATTTTTTCTTTTTAAGTTGGATATATTAAAAAATCTCATTTATTCATGTAATAATTTTAAAATTTTATTTTTATAATGCTTGAATTTTTTACTCCATGTATTGTTTAAATTAATTATTACCATAAAATAAAGTTTATTTACTTAATTTTTAATAAATATTTTTTTATATATAATTTTTTAATTATTAACAATATGAATTATATTTTTTAACTCCTTTTATTAAGTAGGACTGGACGAAACATATTAAGATAAGATGAGATACGAAATATTTTGTAATTTCAACTTCTATTAATTTTTTATCAATCCATAAGAAATATTCAATATATTATTTATAAATGTTATAAATGTAATAAATTTCTATTTACATAATTATAAATTAATCAAATATATTTATCATTTCACATTTTAAAATTATAAATATTAATTAATTATATGAAAAATAATTAAATAAAAAGAGATAAGGTTAATTTTAAAAAAGTAATTTAAATTATTGATAAATTTAATAATTTTAATTAAGTTAATTAATTTGTTTAATGGATATAATTTAGTTCAAAGAGTTTAATAATTAAAGAAAAAAATAATATATATAAAATTATATTCAATTTAATACTTATGTTCTTTTAATATTTTTTTTTTTAAATTTAAATATTTAATTATGTTATCTCAATATAAACATAATAAATTTATAAATAAATGTATTTTTAATATTAGTAAATATAATAATAATCCGTGCAAATAGACGGATAACGTTCTAATTTATTTGCTAAAATAGGCCTAATGAAATCTCAATCCTGCGCTCCCTTAATTTGGATCTCGTTCCGTATTTGTAATATTTTTTGCGAGATAAATAAAATTTAAAATTACAATTTCTTCTTTTGCAGTCCTTCTGCTCTCCTCTGCAAAATAATATCCTCGCCGAGTTATTTCCTACCCACAACACCCTCGTGTTCTTCTCTCTTATCTCTCTGTTTCTCATCGTGCTCTATCTTTCTCTTCTCTCTGGAGGACGAACTCCAACTCCTCACGTGCCAACTTCTCTCCCACCACCTTCATTGCTCTCCTCAAGAACCAGTTTCTCGAGCTCGGAGAGCGTGGTGTTGTTGTTCTTTCTCCTTTTCCCAATCTAGTTTCTCTCTCTGCATTGTTGGGCATAATATGAATGTGTTTAACACATCAGTTTTAGGTATTTAGCCATAAGGACGCATCACTCACTCAGATACTAACCCTTCCCCACCTCAATGCTTTTTCATCGCTGATCAAACATTGAACCCTAGCATTTGAAGGTATGTACCCTCGATTTTTATCTCTGTTCAGCACTTTCTTTGTGTGTTTGCTTTCCTTTGTCTTATTATCACGGAGGTGGGATTTGATTTCGGGGATTTTAGGGTTTGATTTCGCTTTTTTTCTTGTTCTTTTCTTGATTTTGTTTCTGTCTTGCTTTTTGACTACCGAGCTGTTTGTATTTGTTTATTGTTTTGTTTTTCCTTTACTCGTTGGGTGTTTAGAGATTGTCATATTTGGTGCTGGGCACTCAACTAAGCGTTTGTTAACTATCTATATGGCTTAAATCCTGGTAAAAATCTATAGTTTGGTTGTCATAGAACTTTTAATTTTTTTTTTATTAGTCATAGATAGTACAAAAAAGAAGCTCGGTTGAAAATTGACTTCATACTGTTTTGCTGCAAATATATATATATATATATATA